GGTCCTTTCTCTCGCCCCTCCCTGCCTCCCTTCCCACAGCGGCGGCCGCTCGTCCTCGTAGGCCTTCGTGCCTCGTTCTCTTCCCCTGGGCGGCGTTTGCCTTCCTTCCCTCCTCCTTCACCCCCCGCACCCCTCCGGCGTCTTCTTTGGCTCCCGCCCGTGTCCGGCTTCTCGCCCTCCCCCCAAGGGACCGCCTCCCGACCGCCCTCCCTCGCCTCCCCTTCGGCGGGCAGGTCCCGGCGAGGGCCCTTCAGCCGCCTCCTCCTCTCTCGCCAGTCTCATTCTCTCCCTCCCTCAGTCCTCGCTTTCTTTCCCTCCTTTTTCTCCTCCTCGCTCGGCGGTGGCCCAGCCGGGGATCCCATCCGCCGAACGAGCCAAGCCCGTGGGGAGGAAGGGCTCGTGGTCCCTTGCGTAGGGGCTTCCGGCGAGTAGACCGGCTTAGAAGCGGCACCTCTCTCGCAGGACTCCGCTTCGTGCCTCGTTCTCTTCCCCTGGGCGGCGTTTGCCTTCCTTCCCTCCTCCCTCACCCCCCGCACCCCTCCGGCGTCTTCTTTGGCTCCCGCCCGTGTCCGGCTTCTCGCCCTCACCCCCAAGGGACCGCCTCCCGACCGCCCTCCCCTTCGGCGGGCAGGTCCCGGCGAGGGCCTTTCAGCCGCCTCCTCCTCTCTCGTCAGTCTCATTCTCTCCCTCTCTCAGTCCTCGCTTTCTTTCCCTCCTTTTTCTCCTCCTCGCTCGGCGGTGGCCCAGCCGGGGATCCCATCCGCCGAACGAGCCAAGCCCGTGGGGAGGAAGGGCTCGTGGTCCCTTGCGTAGGGGCTTCCGGCGAGTAGACCGGCTTAGAAGCGGCACCTCTCTCGCAGGACTCCGGTTCCTCTCAGGGTTGTTGCCCCCCCTCTGGTTTATGGCCTAATTAATTCTTAACCCCCCCAAGACACACTTTTAGGCTCTCCCCTCCCCGCCCGCACCCGCATTCTCACAGGCAGGCACAGGGCGCCTTTTCAAAATCACATGGGAACTTGGGTTTTCTCATTTGAAGAGCCAGGCTCTTTGTTTCGCCCTGATGTGACTCATTTCTGTTCAGTGCCTCCCTCCTTCCACCCTCCCCAAATCTGTTAGCAATGCCCGCGAGTCCCATGGGTAGACCCATTGGTTTCCATACACTTTCTCTAGACTCCCTTCTTGGTCTCGCTCCCTCCCACCCACCACCCACATGTTTCAAGACTGATGCCTCCCCCCTTGAAAGCCCTCCATCCCCAACCCCAGATTCCTGGGCCCTCCTGCCTCATCTTCCCTTTTTTCTTTGGACTCGTTTGAACCAGATCTTCTTGCAGTGTCTCTTTTGTCTCCCCGTGATGTAGTTAGTTCCCTTCCGATTCCCTTTCCCACTGCCTCTCGCCTCTGTTTATCCTCATCGAATTTTGCCCCACGTGGAGCTGCTTTTGCAGAAAAACAGCTTGCTTTTCATTTTCGCCATATGATTTCATGTAGGTAGGTCCTTCCTCCTGTGTTTCCTATTATCAGATTGTCTTTCTGCTCTTCCTTGTTAATTAATATGCCCACTCATTCATTTCTGCTAGATTTGGCAGCCTTTTAGAACCAGATGTTACATGAAATCTGTTTTCTTGCTCCCCAGTATGCCATCTTTGCACTCCTTTTCATGACTGCTTTTGTTTCCCCTACCATTTTCCTAGTACTATTGCCCCTTTCCTGCCTTTCTTCAAACAGTTTTTGACCATCTTTTGGAGGCTTGACGTCAGAGGTAGGGGCAAGCCTTGTACACGTTTTTAGTAGTCTCATGCAGAGAACCTTTTCAACCATAACCCCCCCTCCAAAAGCTGATGCTTTGTTAAAAAAACTTGTTAGCCTTTCAAATGCTACAAGACTCTTCATGTTTATTGCCATTCCCAACTCTTTTGAAGTCCTTTGCATGTTTGTTTGAGTTACAGACTTAGTGGTTGATCTCCCCATCTCTTTTGAAATCCTTTGTATGTTTGAGTTACAGACTTAGTGGTTGATCTGGCTTTTTACATTTTGTTAGCTGGACCATTTACCAAATACTGTGCAGTTTGGGCTTAATTGTTACTACAGTAGCCAAAATTGAATCCTGACTGCCAGATCAAATCAGATAACATTTTGCAAAAATTTTCTATAGAATGGCCTTGGATACAGCCAGTTATTTGGTGGCAATGCATAGGATTAAGCTGTTAATGTGTGTCTGTACATCTGGGGTCTTGAAATGGCACTACTTTCTTTCAGAGGTCTGTTGATCTGCATAGCTAGCACTGTCCACTATGAATGAAGAGCTGGAGGGACAAGATAATTTGCAGAGGTTGTGGCTACAAAATTGGTGAAAGATTAAGGTGTTTTGTGGATTTTGTTTTACCATACCCTTTTAAACCTTGCAATGACTTTGATCTGTATCCTGCTGGATATTTGCACATGCCTAGAGCTGCAGTTGTGGAAGAAGAGATGCTAGTCACTTGAAACCAGTTATGCAACTGCTTCTTTGTCAGATTGCCACAGGAGCATCCTCAGTTGGGTTTCTGCACATGTAAAATATTAAACAGGGTATAAGCCATTGAATAAATGACATTTGATCTTCCTAATTTTGACTGAATTAGGAATTGCGCATGTTTTAAATTTCCAAGTTATGATTTTCTTCTGACACGTTATCAGCACCCAGAAAACAAACAAGTAGAAGCATTTTCATTGGTGTCTGATAGGACACAGGTTGGAGAAAATTATAGAGTTGCAAAATTTGATATGAATTTCTTCACTTTGCTTTTTTATTTCATTGTTTAAAGTTTGCTAATATGCATCAGGTGAAATAGTAGGATTTGTCGCATGGTGGAAAGTTTAAGCTCAGGTTAGTCTGAGAAGGTCTAAGAGTTCTACTTTAGTAGTCTTTTGCCTTCGTCTTACAGTCTCTATTTGTCATCTATATAAATTCTATCAAGTGATACTTTTCTTTTATATTTGTAGTACATTGCACCATAACAGTGATGGGGAACTTATGGCACGTGTGCCACAGCTGGCACACAGAACCCTCTCTGTGGGCACACAAGCCATAAGTCGCCATCGAGAAATACTTACCCGTCCTCCAGTCCTGGATTTCGGCACTCCCCTCTGCTGGTGCAGTGGTCCAATGGAGGGGTGCAATGGCGACCATGCCCAGTCTAGCCCAATGGGGGATTGGAGGACCAGTAAGTATTTCTTTGTTAATACCGCTCATGGGGGGGAGGGGGAAAGAAGCATTTAACCCTTGCAGGGCAAGAGCAGTTGTTTTCTAAAAGAAAACCTCAGTACAGTATTGAGTTTTAATTGCAGTGTTGGCACTTTGAAACAAGTAAGTAGGTTTTGTGTTGCAGTTTCGGCACTTGGGCTCAAAATGGTTCGCCATCATTGCACTATAATATACAATATGTTTATTGATAGAGGCTCCTTTTTTACTCTGTAAGTAGGTTTTGTGTTGCAGTTTTGGCACTCGGGTTCAAAATGGTTCGCCATCATTGCACTATATACAATACGTTTATTGATAGAGGCTCCTTTTTTACTCTTTTCTATATGCCAGCAACAGCTTATTTTTATATGATGTCTTAGAAGTGGGATAGTACTGTAATTAATATTTAATTCCTTCATTACGCCTACTGTTAATTTCTTTTTCAGGAAAACTGATTTTCTGCCTGTGACCTCACTTTGTTGGGCGAATATTTTGCAGTGTTATACGTTATTGTTTTTTCTTTCCTTCCATTATTGGAATGTTTTCCCTTAAAAGAATTAAACTGTTCCAAGATTTATTTTTTTGCCAACCCTAACCTGGCGATCTCCAGCGATAGTATTTTATTGCTTGTCCCAACTAAAGTAGACCTATTGATTCATGGGAATTGACATTAGTATTGATTTACCATTCAGACATTTATTAAGTAGATCTATTTTGTTGGGCATGACATTAGACTGTTAACCCAGAAGTTTTGGAATATGATATGCTGTTAAATTGATTTTGGTGTATGGCAGACCTGAGGGCCACATATGGCCTGCGAGCCGCTCCTGTGTGGTCCGCCGGTCGTCGCTCCAGTCCGGTGTTCAAGCACTTGTTCAAGCCCAAGACAGACTGGATTTCTCTCACTGAACAAGTTGAACATAAAAACCATTTATAGCTTTTTGCCTAAAGTTGATCAGTTGCTTATCTTTAACATACCACAAAAAACCTCTTTAGTATTCATGAAGGTTAACAAGTTTAAAATAAAAACAATCATAACATCACTGTTTCGTTTTATTTTTAAGTAAAGTTGGTTTGGCCCCCAAACACAGTTCAGATTTTTCTTTTGGCCCCCCTATAGAAATTAATTGCCCACCTCTGGTGTGGTAACGCTAGCAGGGTTTCTGAGGTGTGAGATATTCAAGGGGTGTTCCACTATTTCCATCCTCCAAGTGAGTTTCCATGGCTAAGAAGGGGTTTAAATCCAAATCCAACACTCCATTCTCTTAAACTGTGGTACACTATGCTGTCTCATTTAGTTTTGGAGTA